CCACAGTCACAATCAATGGCGAATCGTCAACCTTCGATTTCGCCCTAATCGTTGTCTACTCTCCAGTCTCCCCCTCTCTTTGCCGGACAGACAATTGGAATGGGTAATTGGTAATTGAATTGGGTTAAATTGGTTTGGTTTTGTGGGCTAATCACTAATTGGGCCTTTCTTTTAAATAAGGCCCAAAAAATTAAAACAGAATAAGGGGGGAAAAATTCACCTGGCGCAGCTCCTTCTTCTTCCCCGGAGGATGGCGACAGCCCGGTGAGAACTTGCAGCTTTCGACAGACCCAGCACGGGCTGCCGCGGGGGCTGGCCAGGTGCTGGATCCGCCCCTGCTCTTGTGCAATTTGTGCTCTGCTGGTCTCAATGTTTTTGTTGGCTAATAGATCTTTCCCCACTATTGTATAACTTTTTTTTTATGACTCAGGTGTCCAAGTTTCGTCCGACTAATCTTGATGAGTGACGGCATTCTCTCCTAGTTTGCCACTCGGATAAATTCGGATGGGTCACAGTTTATATACACTTGAATTAGACAATCGGAAAGAAGTTTTATTCCCTGTGAACCTCCCTTTACGACGTGCGGACATGACCCATGAGGGACGACAAAGCACACCATTTCAGTTGTTGCGGGGATTCGAACCTCCGATATTCTGTAAAAAATTCTTCTGCTTTACCACTGCGCCATACCCGTATGCATATGGTATGACTTTTTCATGTCATGAAATTCTGCAGATGGCAAACCTTTCAAGAAAGTTCCCCCTTTTTTTTTAAGGAGATGAATGGGTTTTACTCCTTTCACAAGTACGTTGAAGTCAACAGAATCAAAAAATGAAAAGAACTTGAGCATTTTATAATTGGTACGCCATGTGAGGGGGGGGGGGGTGTACAAGATTGTGTACCAAGGACGTACACTTATCATTTTTCTTGAATTTTATCTATTTCAAAAATAATAATCTATTAAAAATATCCTATAATTTTTTAATTTCAAAACTTACAAAAGTAACAATTATACAATTAATTTCACGTATGTGTACATACTTATTGGTCACAATATCGCGTATTATCAAATTAATCAATTACATATTATTTCACCAGTCACAAATAAAAAAAATTATAAATCATAATTTATATGTCGGTAACAGATTTTCAAATTAGTTGGTCACACATTATTTTTTGCACAAATTATCAACTTATTAGGTCCCAATTAAATAATTGGTCAAAAAAAATTATAAATCATAATTTATTTGTCGGTAACAGATTTTCAAATTAGTTGGTCACACATTATTTTTTGCACAAATTATCAACTTTTTAGGTCACAATTAAATAATTGGTCACAGATAACCAAATAGTTGGTCACATACACCAAATAATTGGTCACATACCACCACCAACATTACCGACACCACAACTTGCGACCACCCTCACCTTGTTACCACAAATACCAACACCAGATCCAATCCAATGTCAACAAAAACCACCACTATCAAATCTCTGGTAACCAACAACCACCACTATAACATTTCACCACAACCACTAACAACTCAACAACCAAGCAAACCAACCAATAAAAAAAAATAAAAAATAAAAATAAAAAAATATATATATATGTGTGTGTGTGTGTGTGTGTGACCAGTTGTTGACGTTGCACAGTGCCGCTACAACAACGATGTTATGTAAAGCCCTAGGTAGCGACGCTCATAGCGCCGCCATCTTTGGCAAGGGGTAGAGTGCCTCTGTGAGAAGGGAAATTGTGTGCAGTTGCGATTTTTGACATTGGGTACGTCGTCACCGTGAGCTCCGCCATCTTCGACAGTAGGTGGAGCGTCACTGTGAGTTGGCGCTCAGTGTTGGCTCCAAAGTAAGAGAGAGGGAGAAGAAAAAGTGTGTGCGCGATGAAGATCTCCGATAGTAGGTGCAGTGGAGAGGGTGAAACAATAGAAGATGGAGAGTGAGATTAGAATGAAATGATTTTAAGGGTTTGGAATTGAATTGGGTTGACATATTTAATTATTATATTAATACCTGATATATGAATAAATAAACTTCACATAGGATTTATGAATTATAATCTTTAAACATCTATTGACATGTAATTTCCACAACAGAAAACTACATAAGCCCATAAAATCTAAGATAAATATAAATGTGGATAAAAGTTCATGGAATGTAATTAAAAAATTGTAAATTTCATAAAATGTATAATTAAAATTAATAATTAGTAATTTTAAATTTTTTAGTTAAACTAAACATTAGCTAAATAAAAAATTAGAGTAATTTTTTTAATTGTGAATCCTTCGGTTTGGGAACTAAACTAATTCATTTTTAGTTGATTTCACCCATCTTGTTTAGCTAAAAATCAAATTTTAATGTAAATAATGCTATATAATACTAGTGACGATCACATTTTATCAACTTTAATTAAATGAATCATGTGACATCACATTTGAGCGTACCTATCATTTAATACCTTACAGTAACCATTTAAACTAGTTCTTCAAACCAGTGTTATTGAATAGCATTATTCTTTTAATATATTCGAAAAAAGTTAATGAAATATATGGCTAAAAATTTGATGAAAGTTACCTTGATGTGATTGAAAATGAATTTACAAAAAATGGTTACAATGACTTTTAATGCATTTTCAATCTTTGATGAATGACCAGACTTGCTCTCGATGTTTCCAGATGAACAGGTCGAAAAAGAGCGAGCGAAATTTTATCAATTATACAATATAATACTATACCAAACACGCAAATTAAGGCTATGCACCGTACGATGGGGCTGCCTCGGATTTCTAGTTCACTTCACTTGAAAAACTACCTATGAAGTATGAGTCAAGAAACTGAATTTTGTCAATCTGTTCTTAGCAAGCAATAACTTATTATCATCTAGAGCAATCACCATAGATTATCTCTTTGCTACACTTCGGAGATATATACTACAAATATTTACATATCATAACCCGAAACGGGTAGAGTCGGCCCGTGACAGCGAGCCATGTCCTCTCCAGCTGCTGCTACAATCCCGGTACAAACAACAAAGAAATTGCCAATACTAAGCTTGTTATGGTTCAGATACTCGACTTTCTGCATCAAAACAATCAAGGGTCGATCAAATATAAACAAAGCTACATTTCAAGGGGAAATTAAAAGCTCGCTGCCTAAGGGCTTAAAAAGTTCACTTACAAATTTAAAAATAAGTAGCATTTTTTACTTAAAAAGTAAAAGTTAAGTAACATATCAAACACCTTTGGAAACAATGCTCTTACTTACTTTTAAGCGTAGTCAAATATGATGTATATATATTGATTCTCGAGATTCTGTAACCTAAGTAAAAATACCGAGCTAGATATCCTCACCTTCACCATACAATTCTTCAAACCGAGCAACTATATGTTTTCCGTAGGTGTATTTCTTCAAAGCAAGACGATGAACCCTGATTCGGTCAAGTAATGATTCACGTTGTTTATCATTGCTAATTTCGAGAATCTTCTGGACCACGTAGTTTGCGTATTGGTCCTTCATCATTGTCTACAACATGAAAGCAAATCAGTACAATGAATACAGGCTCCATAATAAAGTTCGTGATATTCAATGCCAACCGCTTCAGCCCAAAAAAAAAAATGTTGAAGAAAATTTAGCTTCTGTTTGCCCTCATTTTTCAGCACTCATTTTCAACAACATATTTTCTGAGACGCACAGCTTTTATCAACTTTTCAACTATATATTTCATCAACTTTTATCAAAATCTACTAAAAAATCTGATTTTTCACGAGACCAAACACGGGCTTAATATCCACAAGGAATTTGCACCAATCAAATATCTTACACGACAAGTTACCATGTTTGGGGTGCACAACAACGCAATCACAAACCGATCTAGAAGGATGAAACAATATGTTCCCCCTTTTCAGTAAAACTTCAATTTGGTAAAAGAAAATGTATTTATCACATCAACTTATTTTAAAGCAAACATCAGACTATTAGGATGACACTCATCTTTTTAAAAATATTAAAAAAAAACTATGCATTTCCGATTTTACCCCTTTGTTTTTATTCAACATCAGAAACTATCTATTTTATTTCTCATCATTCTTTTCTATTTCAATTTAGATACTGAATTTAGGGAGAAGGCAGGAAAGGGAATTGTAAAGAACCCATTAATATGTTTGCAGCCCAATAGTATCTTCTATGTTATTTACATCATTCAATCTGAACCTGCTGACTACAGCTTAATTGAGCTGATTTCATATATTCAGGAATTCAACAAAGAAAGAATTTTGGTGCTTGTTTTATGTAGATTTTTGAGAACAAATTTGGTGAACGCTGATTTATTATTATTTTATTATTTTTTATTTTTTATTTTTTTTTAAGAATGTGTGGTAAATTATTAGAGAGAAGTTATTGATTCACATGCAAAACTATTTTATTGGGATAATGTGTGGTTGAAATGAATTTGGAGGAAAATGAATTTTAAAGAATTTGTATCAAACATGGACTTAGTTTATCCATGATCTATAGAAACCGCAGAATTCTGAAGCTGAATAACTAATTCACTTACGAGCATATTGTCATTATCTCCCGACAGTGCCAGAATCTCTTTAATCAAGAGCTCCCTTTCCGTAGCATCACCGAACTCTAAGCACTTCTCAACAACATTTGACGCATATTTGTGCTGACTCATTTGTACGATTCTTCCAGACAACTTGCTAATAATGTGACTTCTTTCATAAGATTTTCGCCTCTCTAAAACATGCTGCAAGGATATAGCCAATCTTCATATTGAGAGTCGAAGTAAAATGTTGAAAACATACTAAGAAACATGACAAAGAAAAAAGGAAAAGAACACAAGATTAAGACGGAGCAACATTTCATGCATATTCATATTTAATCGAGGTAACAAAAGAAATCATTAAGTAGCAATGGAGGATATATTAAAAATACCAATTAGAATGAATATGTAGTTTTGTCATGAAAATGACGTAGACTGCAATTCAAAACTAAAGGTTTTTCAAGACAGTATTACATCCTAAGACACTTTTTGACTGGAACATAGGGTCTGGCATGCCAAACAATTTCTGACCTAGACGAGTGTACCCAAATGGAAATATTTTTTGGTTTTTTTTTTATTCTTCTACACTTGTTAACATTCGTTTTGGCACAAACATCAAATTTCCACATTTCAAAAACATTAATCATTTTTTCTCCTTCAATCCCATATTTTCTACTGTTTTTTATGGAATGATGAAAAAGGCATTTCCTACCAGATCTTCGCTGTTAATTGTGCCATAAACTATTACCATCTATCCCAGTTATCATTTTCTAATCCTCACAATGTCAATTTTCGCGAAGATTTAATTTTTTGTTTATATATAAAAATGATTCCTTTAGCTAGGATCCCACTTTTAAATAAAGAGCGGTTCGCCAAGAATATACCAAGGTCAGGACTCCGGGATTTACAATCTTCAGCTAATGTGAATTGAAACAAACAGAAGCCATCTTTTAGGGTTTTTACTTCGATTAAAAAAAATTAAATTGGTCAATTTTGGAAATAAGTTTTAATTTGAGAGCAAACCAATAGTTGCTACTTTCAAAAGAAATTAGTCAAATAACTTATTTTGACTTAAAAAGTAAGAAAAAATAACATATCCGAACATTTTTGGGAACAAAAAGTTATTGCCACAAGCTCCAAATAAAAGAGCAACACACTGACATCTTAATTTGTTAGAATGCACAATAAAGGCAGACATCAACTCAAGCATAAAATCTAGGAGTCAAGATTATTTAAAGATACATTTACAGGTAAGAAATATGGAGCAAAAACAGTTGGTAAAGTGACATGATTTGAAACAACAAATACCTGTATGACATAATTCCCATACTGATCTTGAGCAAGGTCATAAGCTGATTCCAAAATCTCATCAATTATAAATTGACTTTGAAAATCGTTTGGGCAATGCTCCAAGACTCTCTACAAAGGAACCAAAATAAGGGTTTCTAATCTAGTAATTTCTATTTCATCAATTTCCAATTAAAAATAGAACTAAGAGGACTAAACAAATGAAATTACCAATTTTCAAAAATGCATTACAATGGGGTTAAATACAATGGCCGTCACTAAACTTCAAACTGTTCCAAGTTGGATACTGAATTAATGAAAGAGGCGACATGGAAGTATAGTTATTTGCCAACTAGGACGCCAATGGTCAAACTAAAGGGTTTAGATCAAATTGTAACACGTGTTTTAAGTTCAATAACCAACTTGAAACAAAATCAAGTCCAATAACCAACATGAAATATCGTTACACATTCATTGACCACTCGTGATTTTAACCCCATTATAATGTCATTGTTTATCGTCTACAACCGACAATATTCCTCCAGCAATATGAAGATTGACAAAAAATTATACCTGAATAACACGGCACCCATAGGGATGAGTAGATAGAGTAGCTATTTCGCCTCGAAATGCAGTGATGATAAAACCAATTTTCTCTGTAGGTATACATTCAATACATTTTTGTATAACGTGATTTCCATTTTGATCACGTACACACCGCATGACATGCTCATCGAGTTCATGAACAAGTTCTATCTTTTGGTCAAGTTCAATAACTTCCAATGCCTAAAATGTATATCCAGTATAGCAATCATCAATGAAACAGCAAGTCGTGCATTTATAAAATGAGTAAATGTGCAAGATCATTTCAATAGTTTAGCACAATAAGAAGCACAATCAGATTACTTGAGAACATACAGATAGTTATATTAAAAGGAACACCATACTAACAATATAAGACCAATGCAACTAATAGAATGCTTCCATGGAAGAATGACAAAAAATAGCTATATCCCATGTTGCACGGATATTTCAATTGGAGTGGCGTGTGCATGTCCGATACGTGTCGTGTTGTGTCGGATACAATACTCATCGGACACTCTACCACAGTCCTTTCCTTGGCAATATTAATATATAGCTATGATGTACAGACACGGATATGTATGTCATGTGTTGGATATGTCGACACGCAATTTTTCAAAGAATATCAACATGACACGTTGCCGACTCGTTAATTAAAATCTTTAAAAAATTTAGTTTTTATTTTAAAAAAATTTAATCAAAGCGTCAATACTTTTTTGAAAAATTGTGTCAATGTGTTCGACGGTGTTGTGTTGTTGCATCATAGGCTATATCATTGACACGTATAATTAAAAATACATAAATTGGTTTTTCACTTGGGCAGAGATAAACTTTTCTCTGCTTTCACCCCATATTCCTGCAGAAACAGCAACTGAATCCCAGCAAGTATATTCGATTTTTTACACTTTCTTACAAAAACAATTATATTTACTGGTTGCATCATCTGTCTTACCATGGCTGCTGGTTCTCTTTCTGAAAGGCACATGTCCCATTGTGGCATGTTTCTTGAAAGATAATATATTATAATGCAGATCTATATTATAATGCAGATCACAAAATTTAAGATACTATTAGGACAAATATATCAGCACCAACCTTTTGAATAACACGACAACCATACATTTGAAAACTCAAGGGTAATATCTTCCCTGATAGTTGATTTGCCAGATCTCTCCTCTGCTCACAGGTCCCGTATTCAAAGAACTGTGAGTGCACACCACAGACCAAAAAAAAAAACATGTATTATTCATAGAGTTAAAACTTAAAGTGTCTATAAGACTGTAACATCATATGTAGCACCTAAGATATAAATGTCTTGAGCGATGAAATTTAAATCCACACCTTCTGAATGACATAGTTCCCAAAAACATCTGTAATTAATTTTGAAGCATGAGGAAGAATTTCTCTGAAAACAGACTCCATCTCTTCAACATTACAGCTTTCCATCTTCTGTTGTATAAATCGACTCCCGTGTTGATCAACACTACAATGTACACGAATAAAAATAGTTCTTTTTCTGTCGAGGGATTGGTATAGCAATCGCAATGCACACAAATAAAAGAAGCCCAGTACAAAAACTACCTGAATTCAACGATACACCCGTTGATCTCAGAGAGTTCAATTCTTCGTGCACTGCCTGCTTTAAGTTCCTCAAGAAAAGAATGCTTCCTAGGGCTATTGAAGCCGTCAGACCGTTTTTGCCCTATCCATCCTGCATAACCACCACTATTTCTCACAGAACCTTGAAAAAATCCATTATCATTTTTCCTTCCGGAAAAATTAGCCCCTCCAACTGGAGATCCTGGCAGCACTGGACTACCTACAGGTGATGCTGGAAATTGTGGCATAAATCCGAGGCCCGTTGGACCTCCAAAGTAACTGCTACCAGCTACCCCTATGTTTCTTGGACTTGGAAAACTGAGACTCGCATTTTGTTTTGACAGGAAATTCTGGTCAGAAACATAAGAAGCAATAGCAGGATCTTTCAGTGAAGCAAAAGAATCAGCTTGGCCACGAATCAAGCCTAGCGAAGGTAGATGACCAAATTGCCCTGGAGCACCATATGCATCTCCCAGAGGATGCTGAAAGTACTGCATTGGAAGAGGACTTGGGAAGGATGGGCGAATCATTAGTCCATGTCCATAAAACTTGTCAATATTCTGTGTATTGCTACCTTTCGGGATGCTTTCCCCTGTTAGGACAACAGAATTTTGACTGCCATAACTTTGTCCAGAACTGGCATTAAAATGCATAGGTAACCCAGAATGAGTTGGATATCCAGCTACAAATGGGGGAAGAAATGCAGAACCCAAAGCATATGCACTGTACTGTGGAGCATATAAGCCAGATGGATTTAGATTTGGATAAAATGGGTTTCCAGGACCCATAGACGCTGCAGCTGTTGCATATAAAGGGGATGTGGGTCCAGGAGTGTGTAGAAGTGGCATTTCGGCTGAAGAAAATTGGACATGTCCATGAGAGACTTTTTCCATGTCAGTTTGCACATTGTTTGCTCCTCGACTGGATCCATTACGCTGTTGAAGGTAAGTATTCGGCTGCTTCTGTACATTCTTTTCATAAAATACTTCCTCTGGTTTATATCTGCTCTGCTCCACTTTAATAAAAACATTCCCAGAGCCTATATTATTACCAGTTACACCATCCTCATGAGCAGAAGGTGACGCCAGAGCATCCAGTTTGGGAATAGAATCGGCAGAAGGATCTTTACTGGCTGTTGAACCAGAGGCAATTGCTATTTCACTACGAAAATCTGGTGCTGACTTTGATTCAGGCAATTTTGATGCATTGAAAGAGAGATTTTCAAACGAAATGGTTTCAACATCATCGTCAGCTACTTCTTCAGTCATAACATGAGTTGAGGAATGAGAGTGATTATATACTGGTGAAGGTATACGAGGGAAATCCTCCTAGATATCAATTCAACCAAAAATAGTAAATTATGAGCATCAGGGAACACAAGCAAGACCCCCTTGGCCCTTGCTCAAAAAAAAAATAATAATAATAATAACAAAAACAAAAGCCTTATTTCCAATATATTTAGGGTCGGCTATAAAACCCTTTTTCGTCATTCCACTTTGTTCACTGATGTAGCTGCCGGGATATAAAGCAACTACATCATCAGTAATTACATCAGGGCATATTAATTTTGGTCAGTCCCTCTCTCTTCTAACTTGCTCTGCCGAAATCACTATGAACAAGGTCTCTTCAAGTCGAAGCAAAACATGACTCAACCACCCAAGTCCTCTTTCCTTAAATTTATTTTCAATCAGTGCAACTCCATTTATTGGTGTACATCGTCATTTCTTTCCTTTTGTCCTTCTAGCATTCTCATTACTTCCATCTTATGGACATCTTGACCTTCAATGGCCAAACACCCAAGGAAATTAAATAATATAAAAATGACATGCACACACCATTCCCATGCCATGGAATAACATAAGCATGGCCTCGTGTCCAATAGTATACAATTAAGTTCTTTAAAACAATGAGAGCTAACATAACAGGAAAGGTAAAACCAAATGGTAATTGTCACAACATTGTGTAGAAGACAGTGTAAACAGAATTAAGTTTATATTTTATATGAAGAGACACCCACCTCACCCTACCCCTTTTCACGCACGTAGACTCTTGACGATAATGTTACTTATTAATAATAAAATTCAAAAAAATCAATAGAATTCCCTAACCAATTTAACAATATACACTTAAATGCGATTCTTCCGACAAAGCTTGGTGTTAGAATTAACTCTGCGACTCAGGAAAACAAGGTTAAAAAATAATGCTTGGGAGATTAACAAGATCTCACTCACTCCTCACTATGGAGGAAAGGAATTAGTTTATTTATCACTTAATTCTTTTGGTATACGTTGAAGACAATACACGGAGAGAAGCAATAATAACCGGATAGATGATTAAAAATACTTACAAATTCCAAGTCAAACATTACTCGCTTCACATTGTTATCTTTATATAAAATAAATATTTACATAGCTGTAATGCTGCAGATCTTTAAAAGTTGATCATCACTTCACCACTCGTTTTAACTAATACAGAAAGTATGAATTGTTCAAGAGTGGAGTTCATCACCAGTCTATGTGGCCATAAGTCACTGCCACGTCATCCAATGCAGTGAAATTGGGATGCATTTTTATCCATTGGACAATGTGGTAATGGCCCCACTGCCAAAGACTCGTAACACAAATATCTTTTAGCATTTTTTATGAAATACATGGGCCATGAGTTCTGTAAATCCTTATGATATGCCAAAAATGATCACAGTCAGACTGTAACATGTTCATCAACAACATAGGACTGAAAAAAACTTGTCCATTACCTGTATTAGATTGACTAAACTTTTATTGCGACCAGTGAAAGACACTCTGTTGTGTCCAGGCATCATACAACTACTACTTTCTACCCAGTCACCAGACGCTTTCTTGGATGAACTAGCATCTTCAGGCTCCTCCTCATGAATTGGAAGAGAACTTCTTGGCACGTGAAAGGATAGGTTGCCGCTGTCTGGAGATGATAATCTCCAATTACTGCCGGAAGTCTGATGTCTATTCTCCCTTGAGATAATAGGTGGGGGAAGGCTCTGATTTGAGGAATAGTATGCATAATATGGATTGGTACGCAGTTGCTCCTCGGATTGAAATTTTTCTAACGCGCTGCTTAAAGTTGCCAAACTTGAATTCGAACCGGAGTTCTGTCGATTTATAAGGTTACCAGAAGCTGCAATAGAACCTTCTATACTTGGAGGTGCACTATCACTCCGGCTGAAAACCGTGTTACTTTGATCTCCACGGGTGTTGTGTCCTTTAAGAAGCAATCCCAGTTCGTCAATGGCTATGTTGGATGCAGCATCCTTGGAAGATGCCCACTTTCGAGCTTGACTGCTTTCCAGAATTCTCATAGGGTTCTCAGTTGCCATTCTATCCAGAAAAACTGCAATAGACACCTCTAGCAACAATGATTTTCACATTTCTTCAGCAACAAAAACTATGCAAAGTTATCACTATGCTTTACGTGCGAGAACCATATTCATATGCATGTTGTTCATTGATATATGGAAAGCTAGCCTACAATCAATTTTTTTTTGCAAAGAACAGAAAATTCAAACAAGCATAAGAAATGAATTTAACTGAGTGCAATACTGCTGGAATAAATGGAAGATAAATAGGTGAAATAAAATTAATGGAAATCGGGCTGTTGACATCTGCTAATCAACATACAGGCAACACATGAAATTTCATTGTCATTGCTCAACTTTAGTTGATTTTCATGTTGCAGTGTGATTTGACTTCCACTATCTAAGTTTGACTATAGAACATGAAATCATAATGAGACATCCACTCATTATGACAGCTTAAGGAATCGTGTTGATATCCTGCTAAACCAACTCCATACATGAAAAAGATGAACAAGAAAAAAGAAGGAATCTTTCTAATTCTTCTCGACAAATTATCTACTCCATCGATCAATAACTGAATATTCTGGCATGGTAGGATCAACAAACAGTTCATAACTGATCAATAAAATGCCTCCCCATTTTAAGGTGTATACATTGAACCACTTCTCTATACTTGAACGAATAGATACAGAGATTAGATACCAAACATGATTATTTGCTTAAATTTAGTCTTCAACAATAACTAAAACATAAAAGCATAATAACAACTCGACAAGGAGCTAAAATTTTAGACCTAAAACCCTAAATAGTCAGAGATTAAGCAAGATTTCTTACCAAAATAGAAAATTCAGACACCCCTTCTCACCTATACCCCAATTCCTAATAAAAACTAATAAATGAATAAAATTACGAAAAAGTGAAGCCAAAAGAAACAAATAATATTACGTGAACCCTTGACGTAGGGATGGTCAAGTACATGATCAAAGCTCACCAATTTGGAGAACCCAATTCAGCTGAATACTCCGACGAATTTTCAAAGAAATTCCAAGTCCAAGTTCGATATCAAAAACCCCACAAACAAAATGGTGAAAATTCAGAGAGAGCCCGAGAAAAAGACGCACGGACGTATGAGAGAGAGAGAGAGAGTTTGTGAGTTTAAAATACAAATGTCTCTTCTGAAATCTACCACGCTATTGACAAGTTTTCTGGGTTTTCGATTTTCTGTATAAAATATTCAAAATGATTATGGAAGTCAGTCTTCGACTGTGTTGAAATTAGACGCTAAGAACAGTTGATAAAATGACATTATTACCCTCAACCGCGAACATCCAACCTCATTTTTTTTCTAAATTTAGTGGATAATCGCGAATTAAGAAGACAGATTTTCTTTTCGATTTTTGTTATAGGTAGTGTTCTGAAATGGCGACTAGATGCGACCTAAATGCGAAGTTTGATGAAAATGTTTCGCCTTTGAACCTAAGCAGGATTTAAGGTGCCTATTTAATTTTTTCTAATTAAAACGTTTCATCTTTCCTATTAGATTATTAATTACAAATTTATTATACAATAAAGTGATAAAGACAAATTGGAAAAAACATCCCTTGCCCATTTTTTTTGATGACATATTAGTGGGCTTTTGTTTGGGAAATTCTCTCAGGAGAGGGGTCCACGACCAATAAAATAATCGTGGGCTCCCTCTTGTGAGGGTCAATCCCCAATGTATAAGTAGCGTGACCATTTTTGTTTTTGACTTTTTGAAGCTTTGCTTCGTTTTTTAGTGTGCGTATTTTTATTTTTTTCACGAGTTTAGCCGCAATTACACTATTGAAATTACAAGTGCTTGCCATAAACCGTTGGAATTGTTGCTGAAATTTATTTAGAAGTCACTAGATTTGCAACCTCTTTTTTAATATTGCAAAATTTGCTTGATAAAAAATAAGAGTTGAGAAGTATGATGAATAACAATGAATGGAATAATATGAAATTGTCTAGCAGTAAAAAAGGAAAATAGGCATTTGATATTGTTGTTCCGAATGATTTTTGGAACACGATAGAATTGTATTTGAGGTTATTCACTCCACTAGTGAGAGTGCTTAGACTTGTTGACGTGGAAGGAAAGCCTTCAATGGGTTTTATTGATGCTAAAAGCAAGAGTTGTCTTGATAGTCCATTTCATACAATGGCTTATTTTTTAATACGTTCTATTTCTTCAAGAATCCATGTATCAATGATGATCAATTGATTATAAATACTTTGATTGCTTGTGTTGAGAAATTCTTTCATAATGATCAAACACAAAATTATGTGATAAATATTGAGTTGCAAAGATTTGTTCAAAAGGAAGGTTCATTTGGAAAAAAATTAGCAATAAGTGGAAGTAAGAACAATGACGCAAACTACAATCCGGGTAATTTCTATACCTAACTTTTTCTCTTCAATCCATATAATTTTTTGTTTCCTGACTTTAGTTTTAGCAGTTGCCTGACTTTAGTTTCCAACTTTCCATATAACTTGGTCAATGAATGTATTGAAGTCGTTGGAAAAATGTTGAATTGGAATTTAATTTTAACATGAACATGTTGCACCGGAATTTGAATTTTACCCTATAACATGTTTGTCTGTTTCATTTATATTTATTAGTGAGTTGGTGGGGTTTCTATGGCAATGAAGCACCAAATTTAAAGACAATGGCAAAAAAGATTGTTGGTTTGACTACTAGTTCATCGGGTTGTACAAGAAATAAGAGTTCCTTCAAAGGGGTAAGTACTAATTAGGCTGTACACATCTCATTTCTTTTGACCAATGAATAATTACTTGAATATACTATGATCCATTAAATGTACATTTCTCTTCTTTTTTTTCTTTTTCTTTTCCTTTTCCTTTTATTATTATTATTTTTTTTTTGTAGATACAAGTTAAGAAAATGAATAGATTTGACAATAAGAGGATGAACAATCTTGTTTATATCCAATTTAACGCAAAGTTGATGAACAATAAGAGGATGGCCAAAATAGAGACTTTACTATCAAAATTGTAGAGGGTTGTGATGATGAGGACAAGAAGGAGAATTATATCTTACAACCTACAAGAGGTACAAGAAATGCTCAAAATGAAATAAGGGAACTCGAGGAGAATGGTTTTGTATCGGACAACACAGGGGATGGATTAGATGAAGAAGAGAATATTCAATTGGAGTCCGATAAAGAGTTAGATAAGATTTAAGTTACAAGTTATCTACATTATGTAATTATGATTTTGAAACTTATCTTTTGTAGGAATTATTAAGTGAATATAGTATTTTATAATTTTAGATATTTAGTATGTATTATTTGAATCATTGAATGTTTTTTAGAATGATTAAAAATTAAAAATAATTTTAACATTAAAAAAATATTTTTTCACGCCTAGGCTCGTAAAGCTGATAGCTTGGCTTCCACTTTCCTATCCACGCTTTACGCTTTTCAAAACACTGGATATAGGCATTACAGTTGCTGAAATAATCATTTATCCCTTGTTTGACAACCATTTTTATAATACTCTTTTTTATTAAATTCATTTTCAGTCACACATTCTAAAAATAAAGTCTTTTGTGCGCAAGCTTAAAAAAAATTCTTACCTTTTAACTACATATTCTCCAAAAAAATCACTATTCTAAAACTCATTTTCCCAAAAAAAAAAAAAACTGTTTTTAAATGTTGTCAAACAAGGACTGAATTTGCCATTAAAAATGTGAAATTCGACAAGTTGAATACACGAAATTTTAATCCAAATATATCTAATGAAATCATCTAATACACTTGAAGTTTATTGATTTTGTCAAACTTAATTATGGCAACAACTCAATCATCTACTCTTGCAAATGAAAAGAGTTGAGAGTTTCGTTCCCGGTGCATAGTCACTCTAGTGTGAGAGAAAGTTGACATGTTCTTAATAAGAGAGAGGTTACTTGTACCGGTCAGGATGACAAACACCCTGACCGGCCCCTCATAATGTGGGGGGTTCATTTTTTTATTCACGTGGGACCGACAATCATGTGAGGGTTTGTCAACCTTTTTGTCAAATTCTTTTTGTACAAATAGTTTTTCTCTCTTAATAATGTAGGAAAGTCAAGAAGAGTATTTGAAAGTGAATGCTAGCTCAAAATAAAAGTTGTAATTACCTTTGTTCTCGATATGAGACTCCTTTAAACTATGCAAATGTGACGAGGAAAAAACGATTATGGATATATTGGACATGTGCCTAGAGTCTTTGAATTTTATGATGAGAAGTGAGAACTGCAGATGGTCACGAAACTTTGTTTTGATGACTCCACCAAATCGTTTAAATGTACATGCTATCTAGTTTAATTAATTACCTCTTTTCAAAGAATACACGACCAACTATACTCGACACTTATAGCGAGTAGGCTGTCCTTTTCGCCTTACTCCATCGATTGAGAGAGGGCATATCTTCTTTCTTCTTGGCCAATCAATTGACCTTCTCATAACCTTTAAACTAATCAGCACAAATCCAAACTAATCGTATGTCAATCAATACATGGCCAACAACATGTATCAAATGTGGCAGCACCAAAAGTGATCATGTTATATGACATTCCAAGGGTGTTTCACGAACCATAGCTAACACATGATTCTTCGTAAAACTCAGTGATCATGCAAGCTTAGCCAAAGAGTCCGTTCCTCAAACCCGACCCGAATCATTTTGACAAAATTTACAATTTATTATCCTACTACAAAACCCTCAACTAAGATATGAACTGAAGCCAGATTAGGGTTTTTGTAGTTTGAAGGTTCCAAATGTAACAATATATATTACCAAAATTACATTTCGATATTACAGAATTTGCATAGAAATCGTGGCAAAAACATATTCGAATAAACAAAAGCAACATTTGTATAACAAAGCTCGATGTTTTCTGAACTGAAGTAACATATTTATATACAATTTTGCATAGTTCATAACATGCCAAATTGAGCTAAGCTAGTAACCCAACCAATTAGAAGGTATTGGCAGAAACTTGTGTTTGGCAAGTGCCAATAACTCGAAGTAATCCGACTGATTAAAACAGTCACGAAAATCTGTAAAAAGCCTCTCAAAAATCCTCCACTGAACTTTGTATGATCTTGAGTAGGGATATGACAGAAAAACCTGCACAACATTTTTACTGTTGCATTAATACAAAAGAAATACATGATATAAATGAGAAAGATAGAAGTGAAATAGAATGCATGAGAAAATTATAATTCAACTACCCTGCCACACCAGCAAAACTCACACCAGTGATTCAGGACTAAACTTCGGTAAGTAAAAAATCTTCTTCCAATGCATAATAAAAACTTCTCGAGCTGCGTGTCACGGGACTAGTTTTCTTACACTAAAACAACTAGACACTGTGCAGCCTTAACGTTCACAATTCCCGTGCCTCACGAGAAAACGTTAAGTCAGTCTTTCAACACACTCGAATAATCTTACCAAGTAGGCTAAATTACTACAACTTTGAGTATGGGATTTGAATTTAAGAAAATATGGAAACAAGTAATGTTGGGGAAAACTCTCTCTTTATAAAATAACTCCATTCCAATGAATTAATCTACAAAAGGACTACATCTCTATTTATAGACAAAAATCCTAGTAAGTGTCTTGAAATCAATGGTCAAGATCAATCTTCATCCAAGATTTCTCATTGGATGCAAGTGGCCTTAAACTTCCTAAGACCACGAGAAAGCAAAGTTGGAATTTGTTTCATGCAAGTGGCAAGTCTCTACAATTCTAACATGCACTAGAAATATCCCTTTCATAGTGGCAAACTTGACTTTTGCTTCCGGCATTTTCTCTTACAAGAGGCATAAGTGCCCAACTTGAATTTGAAGTCTCAAAATATCCAGCTTTCAGTCCATGGTATTTCTCCCTAGAAAACCACTTGATGTGCTGGAAAAACTGTCCATGTCATGCAGCCTGCAACCTATGCGTTGCTATGCTGCATGTGTCCTGTTATATTCTGACTGCGTCCTGGGTGCTGTCAGTGTTGCAGTGCCTGCCTGCACACCCGAATTTCCTAGACACGACCTGCCACCATGGATATCAGTCATTTCCCCACCATTTTAGATGACACCGACATCGCCATATACCTTTGAAGCTTAGACCTAATTAACCATAGGTCTACTTCATTTTCTCACTTAGTGCCATAACATCTCCGTGCCATACTAAATCTCAAGTCTTCACCTTGTGATCCGTCACATGAGGGCAACAAAAAAAGGAAATGCGAAAAAAATTAACTTATCTAGAAGACCTCAAACTATTGGTACCGAGAGCCTAAACAAGATCATTAGCGCATCTAACACTCTAATGATAAAGATACAGATGTCTTCTACTTATACAATATATTTTCAAACCAAGCTGATAAAAGGATAATGATTGGAAATTTGCATACATCTCCCTCAAAGGCAAGGCGTTTAAGTAACAGAAAGGTCTCCTGATTTTCCTCAGAGTTGTCAATAACAGCCAACCAGATCAGTGAAGCAAGGTCGTGCGCCTTGTCTCGTGACTTGCCACAGGCTATAAATTGATCTGCTAAAAGCAAAGGATCACTGGGTTAATGAGAATTCTTGATGCAACATGTTTTCAATTTATAAAATTGGGAGTGTGCAAAGACACTAATGTAATTAACATCACAAAGAATTGTTTTTTTCTTATTTATCTACAAATGACCCATAATTCGAAATCCTTCACGAGTGACCCAAAATCGAATTTTCTAAAACTACACTTCTAGCTTCCTTTATGTGACTTCCATATTTGCACAACAGACCAGCCAATTGTTTGAAACTCTGTTCATCAGTTCACGTCTACAACAAGATCACTGAAACTCAAATTCCTTCACGTTCCTCCTATGCCACCAAACGAACCAGCCACAGAATTGGTTTAATGGAGGATAGAAAATGATGAACATAAAATTTCTTCAATAGACTTACTTAGAACTGTCTGGTTAATTATGTAATTATGTTCTCAGATTAAGGTAAATATCAAGTATGTGATCACACCACGGCTTTCTACTCAATTTCTAGCAGCAACAAACCTCAATTCCAATTAAATAGGCACAACAGCTTTCTTATGAATGTTCTATTGGATAGCGTGTATGGCTAAGCTTATAAAAAGTAATAAGTAAATATAACTAAATAAGTAGGTTTTAGAGTAAGTAACTATGTTCTATTAGTCAAAGTTGGATACAAGTTTCTTATTTAAAGTAAAGCAAGAGTTAACTTTTAAAATAAGTAACTTTTACTTAAAATTAAGAAAAAAAACTCAGTTATTAACTTTAAATTCTTTTTAAGCTCAGCCAAACATGGTCTAAGATACGAAGACAAAGCAAAAGAATTCATTGAAGACCCTTCATGTGAAATCATTCTGATTGGAGAACCAGTTATGTCTCTCAGCTTAAAACTATGTGGGTTCTTAATGTAACAGTTATAGAAATATCCTTATGCAATTATGAATCATCTGTAATCAGCAGAACTGCACAAGTAATATCTAAATGATTTAACACGGCACCTATAATCGTTCCATGGAGAACCCCAGATGGAGGAGGCATGGTAGATATCTCGAGCTGCTCTTTCAGAAACAAATAAGTATGACCTACAATCTCATCCATTTCATCATCAAGTGAAGAGATGTATTTACAGACATAGAATGCAGCAAACCTCCTGAAAATAGGTAACAGAATTGTAAGGTCACTCGTTTCAGTAGGTTTAATTGACAAAAAAATATATATACATACCCATGTTGCTCAGACACTAGCAAAAAAATAAACTCCTATCTTAACAATAATAATGAAAAATCATCACATAAGTACAACTACATGTTTAGAGTCTTATTGCAAGTTTTTTATTTTGCAAAATCATTATTTTCATTGATATCTAACACCTCTTTATTACTCTCTCATAGAGGAAGAGATGAGACATACCTTTTGCTCGACCCGCAAGGAATAGGGCCTGGCCATCTTTTAGCTTGACCAGCCAAAGGAAAACTCCTAATGAGAGCCGCATGCCACATGCACTCTCCCCGAAACAAATCAGCCCAGTGCTTCTGAACACAAGATACTTGCCCCCACTCCGAGATGGGAACCCGAATGAATATCTCTATCAGCAGATGATCCGGTAGCCTTGTAAAAGGACAGTTAGCTGAAAGCAATGCAGCTTTGTTGCTCTCGTCCGCCATTCACTGGAGAGGGGCAGTGAGAGTATAATCTATCACAAAGATAATCCAAAAAAATAAAAATTAAACAAACAGAAAAGAGATAGATACATGGAAACAAACAAACAATCAGAGGCTCAGAGCGTAGAATATAATTGCTTTAATTTATTCCTGTTGTTGCTGAATCTGCTGTAGTCATTTCTTTTTTCTTTTCTCTTTAGTGTGAGTATGGCTAATATTTTTGTCAAAGTTTAATGAGATTGAACAACAGTAAGCTCCCAGAATTTTACAGGGGTGATGAGGAAGTGGATATAACTTATATTGTGACTAAAGATTTTACTTCCAGAAGGCAGTGATTTACATGTGAAAAATTCAAACATTTAGCATAGCAGCATGTAGTATTCATGAAAAATTAACAATTTACAAAATTCCCGTTTTCGTCCAAACATAAAGCTAATAGTCGAAACTTGCTCAGTTGGGATCTTAGAAAGAAATTCTGCAAGCTCAAATATATAATCAATTCAAGAGATAACATTCAATAATGAGAGACAAGCAAATTAAGGAATACAAGGAATTTTTTACCTTCTTCCTCTGTAGAAAGTGCCTGAGATTTTGTAACAATCAATTCAAATCCAACTTGCAACAAGGCTTCAGAATGTTTCCCTTGTGCAGCCCTGTAATCAAACAAAGTATTATTGAGTTTGCAGCGATCTTGAAAGGAGAAGCAATTAAATTTCGTAATTCTTCACAAAAATTACTACTATCTATCTCGCCGAAATTAGCCATCAGCAATAAGTCTGAACAATGCAACAATTATCACATAATTAATCCTTACAGCAGTGCTTCAATTTGAGACTAATCACAGAATTGGAATTTAAAACCTCAGAGAAAAATACATATAAAAAGTAAAACCCAGAATAATTCAAACTGAACAGCACATAAACAATAAGAACAAATCGTTGAAATTGAGTTAAAAAAAAGGAAAATTAAGGGGAAAAAACAAGAAAAAGAGGTGAAAACTTTACTTTCTTCTCCCAGAATTTGAGAATAGGTGGCAGCTGAAAGAGCTGGTGTTAGGTCCATTTATGTTCATACGTTTTCATTACTATTAATTGCTTTGCTGATGTTTTGCCTACGCTAAAGCTACAAATAAATTTTAAAATGCTGGCACGTCATGATGGGACCCACTTTAATTTGGGGGACTTGTAACACGAACCAATTGTCATGAAGGGAATACCAGAGTACAGTGAGGCTGAGCACCCATGATCGAGAGTCGTGATCAATGAGCACCAAAATCTACTCTTCCCTCAGAAAATAGAATGAGGTGGAATGTGTGGTTCTCGTAAATTTGTGATGAGCATCTTTCAGAATATGCAATTTGCAATAGTATTGCCATTTAGAGTCAGTCGAGGGTGGCAGAGAAATTGAAATTGAACATGTACAACCAATTTGTATCCTCGTTACACGAGTTGCATGTATCTATAAATTCTGAATTTATCTGTCAAAAGTGTTCTAAATTTATTTCAAGTTAATCATCCGTCTACGTATGAACTTGAGGAAAAGCTTTAAAAAAATTATAAATTAAATTAACAAACATTGATGGAGTGATCGAAGTTCGAAGTGCAACAAATGTTTAACATTGATGATCAATTAAACTTTAGTGGTTAATTTGTAACAAAAATAAAGTTAAGGGACTATTATAAAATTTTAATAGAAAAAGCCAACTAAAAATTGAACACTACAGGAGTTATGAACAATGAAGACTGGATTCGATTCGATTTCACCAAGAATTATCTGCTATCTATTATTCATAATCTTCTTCAACATTGCTTCACGTCCTGGAAATGGACTAATGATTTTCCCCCCTTCTTCTCGTTGATTCGCCACGAATTCCTTTTTATCATCCAAAATCCCTAATTTCCTCATCCTCTCCGCCGCCGTCGGAATTGTACCGTTCTTCGATTTCAGCCGCTCTCTCCGCGTCCTTCTTCTTCTTTCACCGTCGCCCTCGTCGGAAGTTTCCTCATTCTTCTTCAATTTCTGCATTTTCTTTTCCACACTCCTAATTTCGTCCCCAATTCTCGGAATTCTACTTCCCTTGGAGCTTCCTAGAAGCCCAAAATCAATCTTACTCCAACCCGCCTTATCTTCATTATCCCACCCGAATCGCTGGCTAATTTCCAGCAGTTCAGAGACAGCATTCTGATTCCCATTCGCTGGTACCGAGGAATTACCCAAAACGTCGCCGTTTAGAATTTTCTCGGCGAATTCCCACTCTATGCGGTCTTTGTACACCGGGTCAATGAGCACCTCATCGCAAAGCTTGGCCCATTCTTCAAAGTCCTGGGCTCTTAGGTTTTTTGAGACCCATCTCAGATAGGTTGAAGGTAGGGTTCCCAACATTTTGCCCTTGTATTTTCCGAAGTCTATGACTCGATCCCGAGGTGGAATGACTGGAATTGCGGTGTTGGTCCGGCGGAGTGGTGGCGGAATTGGAGTTTTGGGGTTTGTGTGGAAGCAGTAAAATGCAGAGGAACGGAGTGGAGTTGTAGTGTAGTGCACGAATGGAAAATTCATTTCGTGTAAGCTTTCGGGTGCGGAAGTGGATTGGGGATGTGTCAATTATGCGCGAGATTTGTCTGATTAATATAAAATTTCACGATTGGCAATTGGACATTGATCCCCAAAATTTTACCTCGAAATATAGTGTTACTGTGTCAGTGCTTGACCCTGAGATTATCATTTTTAGAATAATTTTTATTCAAAAAAAAAGAATTTTCTTTTGATTTACTGTAATATTATTTTATTGAAAAATATATGATTGATAAAAAAAAAGAAAAAAATTATAATTTTAATAGGGGGTCAAATGGGACATAAGAGTTAAAAATAATATGACTAAGAATTAATTTTTATTTTGTAATGTTAAAATGATAAGTATTTTGATAAATTTACAACCCGTCTGGCCCTCTTTCTTTCAATTTTAAATGTTTAGAATATTATTTTTTTAGAGAATGTGTGGTTGAAAAGGAAGAATCTTTTTTCGATTTACGTAAAATATTATTTGATAGAAGATTGTGTGGTTGAAAATAAGATAGATATGAAAAATTGAGAATGAGATCGATGGCCAAACGGGTCTAAATGGAAATTTTGTTTATAAATAAAGTTATAAAAATAAAAAATTTAAATGACAGTTGAAAAAGCAACAAAAAAAAAATAAAAAGATGTCTCGAATGGTTGACTTCTTGTCATAATTTTTCGTTAATAACTTATTAAAAATATAAAATTAGAAAATAATAAACTTTCATAGGCAGTGATACCAACAACTTCTCTATCGACGGTATGCAATCGAAGTACTGTCGATGAGATTGCGGACAACATCATCAACGTTATTGTAATCACTAATCGTAGTAGAAGATGCGTCGAAGAGAATCCATGATATTCGATTGCATTCAAAATCACTAACAAACAAATATTGATTTAACATTTTTATGTCAATATTGCAAGCCTCGACCACCGCGATGAAGAACATGTCTTGGATTGTAGAGAAGATGAGCTTCTTGCCATCCATCATAGTGTAGCATTATGGGAATAGACAAGAGCATCCAGAGTAACGGGAGCACCTCCACCTCTAAGATCAGAAATGTGTCCCTTGTGATAGCTAAATACGATACTTAACCATTATTCACAGAATGTACGTAAGTGCTCCTATCCCAACTGATATTGAGCATATGTGAAGTGTACATTCTGAAAATGGCATTTAGTTTGCAATGATGAGATGAAATATGCCACAAATAGATTTATGTGGATAGCACAATAAAATTCACGAGCCATCGAAACTTCCATCATTTCTGTTGACACACTAAAAATACAGCCCAAATTGGATAGCCCAAAGAGTGAAGCCCAATTGGAGGCCCAGGACAAAATGCCCAAATGAGGTTATTGGTAAGTGCAGAAGGCCCCCACGAACACAGTAATATCATCGCCCACGCCCGC